AAAGTGAAAGTTGAATTTTTCGCTATCGGTTATAATTAACTAATTAAATTTATATAATATGTTGCATCATTGTTTCATCATCGATTATAAAAATACTTTAAATATACTCAAATACGATGAACAATGAACAATTCATGCAATGAACAGAACTTTCAAAAATAAGCATATGCAAAATGAAACATTTACCTTGGCAAAAATACCAATATATCGTAAATTCGCAAAAATTCGCAAAAATGTCTGCCGTAGATCATTTGTTAGAACCCCAATCTATCCTACAGTATAAAAAATTCTGCCCGGAAATGCCCGGAACATTAAAAAAAAATACCTTTCAAACATAAACACGTAAGCAAAAATCGTAGCTACCTTGATAATTACTATGTTTGCACTTTGAAATTCATTGCTGCTTGAGTTCAACATATTCTACATACCTTTATCTTGAAAATCCATTTCATTTTAGGTTGATACTTAGCTTTAAATTCGAAAAACTTTTGAGAGAACTTTCCTTATTTTCAAACGAAATTTCAGCAGAACTTCGACAGCTGACAACGGGATGAAAACAAAACAAAGGAACATAAAATGGCTGCCACATATTGCACTGGAGAGTTAGGAACACAGTGGGGCACAAAATGATGTACTAGGCAGCTTTTTGAGGTTTGCCTTTTTGGCCTGTTTTCTTGCCATAATACCATAGAGGACCCAGGACTAGAAGGTCCCGAAATAACGTGTTCAACTTTTTGGCTCAGCTTTTACTCTCTTCGGTCCCAATCTAATCGATTCACCCCTCGAAACATAGGAAAATCCACGAACCCCTTATTTTATCTGTCAAACTTTCATAGCGAATCAAAACAAACATTGTGTAGTACACAGCAAAAAAATAATTTTGATATCACATCAAAGTGGATGCACTACAATCATGTCGAAAATTTCATGTAATTTTTATGACCACATAAATAAACAAATGCAGTAAAAGCAGCGTAATGTCAGTTCATGCATTGTATTAATGATACTTTTGTCCTTTTTAGCAAGTAATATTACACCATATTTTCGACATGATTGTAGTGCATCCACTTTGACGTGATATCAAAATTATTTTTTTGCTGTGTAGTAGAATTCCGACAAGAATGGGGTACGTTAATCGTTTGCTTGGGACCAATAGGTGAGCAGATTTAAAATCGTTAGTTTCGTATTGATTGTTGCTAATACTCTTCTGTGCATCGGCTGGTTCGCCTTGGGCAAAGAAACGGTAAATTTATTTCAATAGAACGCACTTTTCGTCGTGTATGCTTCAGTTCGGAAATTTCGTTTTTTCCTTAGATGGATGGCCAATTTCGGTGTCATTACTTGATTTTATCGCAATGGTATGGTGGACTATCTGCGGTAGCTACTCCATTATTGTCACATGTAATTACACAGAGATCCAACATATGATGCTGGGAAAAATTGATGATCTCAATTTTTTTTAAATAGCCAATACCAACTTAATTTAGGAATGGATAGGAATGTGTTGCCGCAATACTCGCTTTGTACTCGAGAAAACATCTGCACTTCCACGAGAAATCACTGGGATGTTCGATACAAGATTTAGGTTCGCAATAGGGTTCTTTTGGGCAAACGGTTCACTTTAGTGATGTGTTCATTTTAAGAAAGAAAGCGACTTACGAATCTTGAATTTTATGGAGCCAGAGTTTAAACCCATGATGTTCCGGCATCCGCTCAGTAAACAAAAACGATCGCTCTAAGGCCACCGAGCCCCTCATATCACATCACACCACTTATGATCGAGTCGTTGTTGTCGCTATTCAACCCGGTACCGATGACAAGTTTCACAAAACACACAATGAACAAGCAATGCATAATATGAAGTGGCCGATGATTGATCCTGCTTTTTTGCACAATAAGCAAAAACGACTGTCTGAGGCTGTCGAGTCCCTCATAGTTGAATAGTGAATAACTACTCATAAGAAACAAATATGCCATGTTCAATGCAAATAGGATTAGGTCAAATCAGAATTTAGTTTTTTGAAATTTGGCCTGGAAATGCTTTAGTTTTTAGGTCGTGATTAATAATTTATTTATATGATTAATGTTGATGTATAATTGCGCCCGAACCTGTATTTTGTTTTAGGAGACATTACGTTTTTTGATTATATGAATGTATTAAATTAAGTATATATTCAACTAAAATTGATTACTTGCACATCGTCAGACATTATTTGCATCTCTTTTACCCTGATCTTAGTATTGACGGTGCACTTTTATGGAGCATTTTAAAATCAATAAATAAAAAAATCGGACCAATCTTGCAAAAGAGTTGACGGGCTGCCATAAAATACTGTGTGGCCTGGAGGCCCTTGTATGTATGGTCACCTTTATTCTTACCTCTTTTTATCAAGAAAAACAAATTGAAACGATTGTACACATAATACATCAACGGTTTAACGAAGATATCTTTTCCGATTTAGTATCTATCTAATACCTATCTGGATCTAGTTTCATTTGTCTTCACATATATCATTCCTGCGCAACGAGTGGAATCACGACCCGATACGTCTCACGCGCAATCTCCAAGCGGTGAGCGGCTTCGTTTGATTGCTAATATTTGATAGCCAATATAGCGCATTCACATAATTAAAAAAATATGTAAATAAGTTTTGACGCGGTTGTAGCTCATTCGCGCCGCTCTTTTACCAAGAACTCCAAAACAGCCGTCAGGGTCGACTAATGAGAAGACATTAAATGGAGTGTGCTGCTTATTGGCGGCGACCACGCGGAGCTGAGCAAGAGAGAGCAACAGACTGATGATGGTACCAACATATCAAGCATTCAACATCCCCCTCTAAACAAGCAACAGGAGAGAAGCAAAAAATCCTGCCCCAAAACACATCATGTTGCATTTGTTGTAGGTCAATGCGAAGACGTGCAGACATTATGAGTCACTTCTAGATTGGCGTTCACGAGAATTGAGGAATCAAGAAGACCTTAGAAAGATGTAGACAAAGGAGTTGATACGACCAAATTATTTTTAATCTACGAGGCGCTAGCAGTTTGTGTTGATTCACAAAACAGCGTGAAACAACTTTCACACGCTATATGAGAGTATCATGCAGAGCCCGAAAGGCAGCCTCTGATATATTTTAATTCACCGCTCTCCAGTCTTATAATTTATGTTTCTTTTTCTGTTTCTCTTTCTTTCCAGAAAATCGAGTGAAACCACCAAGACTCCACTGATGATTGTCAATCTGAATATTCCACCCGGGACGCAAACATTAGCTCCAAAGAGCGTGAAAAGTCCCCGCAAATTACCACCCTTTTGCGTGCAACACCAACATCTGGCGAAAGCTTATGGCTCTAATCAATCTCATTCTGCTCCCGAAGACACCGCATCGTCATATCCAAACAGAACAATTCCGCAAATCTTCATACAGGGATATGAAATACAAGACAAAAAGGTCACACCGCTGAAGCAGCAAGAAGACGCTCAAGATTGCGAAATTCGACCCATCACCGAGAATGAGGAAGACAGTTTTGCGACTATTTTGCTGGACAATATTTCGAATATTTCTCTGGAAATGATCAATAGGCATCAGCGAAGGCTCATGGGAACTACGAACTCGACAAAAACAGCGAGTAAAGGTTGTAACACATCGGCATGCGATATGTTTTTAAATCTAGATTCCTATGAAATGGATGACTTTGGACAACTGCCTGATAAGTCTGAAGACCGCACGGAAGACTCGCCTCCCATTCCTCCGGGCTATAGATCTCTCTGTTACCGTACGCCTAGTCCCAACACTCGGCAGATCATCCGAGTCAATGTTACTATGAATAGAGGTCGTCATATCGATGAAGGTTCGCGTTTCAATCATTAGCTGTTTTCATTGGATTGATATTGTTGCTATTATATAAGAATTAAGTATTAGCATTCAAGTTTTCTCGTTATAACATTAAACTCATACTACAATCAAAACTTCCATTAAAAATAAATTGTTACATTTATTAGAAACGGATTTTCATTAGTTGATTTGGATATATAGAAGACCTGACAACTGACTGTGGAACTCAATTATCAATAGTGTGTGTTATCAACTATATATATATATATATATCCTCCCTTACCTCAGTCGGTAAAGGCACAGCTACAAAGCAAGACCATGGCGAAAGTTTCTAGATGATGCCTGTTTACGATGTTGAGCCTGCCGAAGATGGGATCTACGGCGTTTACTTGAATATCCAAACCATCCAAGGGGATTATGTTAGGTGATTCGGCTTTTGTAATCTCGTCGTTCGAGAATTTCTCGCTGTTGATGGTCACTGTGCAATTGTGGTATTCGATTAAGAATGTTCCTGTCAGTGTTCGGTTTCTTATACCGCAGTTGGACTGGATGGTTTCATTGACTACTTGTTTCAGGATTATGTAGTTGCTCATTATTGATTTAATTTCGAATGGCTCTTCTATTTCTTTGAATACGCAATTTCCTCATGAGCCTCGTAACAATCTAGAAAAGCAGCTATCTTGGGTTGAGTTCAACAGGTTCTTAAATCCGCAGATATAGCAGGCAACTTGATAGTTCTATTTCCTATGAGTAATGGTTCTAAAAACAATAGGTTATATGGTATAGGTTGTATGTTTTTAATAATGGTATGGTTACAATAAAATTGACCTTGCTCTGGTTGTAGAATGCTTCTAGCCCTAGAAAATTATAGGCTTGCTCAGGATGACTGACAGAAATGCCCTGGTCTTCCAAGTGTTTTATTGCAAAATGCAATTCATCCGGTGAAAGAATATTTTTTGAAATAATGTTTGGTCTAGCTAGTTGAATAGCTTCCGAAATTGTTTCTAAATGGGAGTTGAGGATGTCAATATAAAGGTTAATTTTTATAATTTCTTCAATTAATTTTATACTTTTGTTTTGTCCTATTTCTGACCTTTGAGCGATTATGTTTTTCATTATTTGGTTGTGGTGGTATTCTAACTCATTTATGACTCTATTTATTCTGTTCTGAAGTTGTATATTGATTTTTGCTTGCTCGTTATTTTCGTTTACCAAAATATGGTTATCAAATTCAAGTTTCTTAATGGTTTCCGAAATTTGTATGAGGTCGTCATTATCTAAATTCCCTGTAATTTGTTTAATAGTTGATCCTAAAAAATTTATGAGACCTCGTTTGTGTCTTATACTAGGTAGTAGGTTATGATATAAATTCACATTACTTTGTTGCTGAATTGGCGTTTTCTGCTAGTGTACTTGGTGTATGCTATGGTGGTCGTCGGGGTGCTGATGAATTATAACCGTTACTGATGTTGTTATTGTTGTTGTTATTTCCCCTTTATGGTACATATTTAACTATTAATTTATTCTGTTTTATCATTTTTCACATTTCTATCTTTCTTGAATTGCTGCTAAACTAACCGTATCAATAACTGGGTTGTTGACCGACAATGCAACCATGTATTAATTTTTTTCAGCATTTGGACAACTAGAACCCTATAGAACGAAATAAGTGAAATAAAAAACGCTTCCTAGTAGTTCCCATACACATTTCAACCCATTTGCACGTCTAAACCTTCATACATCTTTACCATTTTTTGTACAGACTCATAATTTGAAGTTATGAATCAAACTGGAGGGTGATCTATAAGAAATCAGTAATAGAAAGTCGATGAAGAGCAGACGATCAAAGCAGATAGGCGCTTTTCCAGCTCTGTATAGATATGTCAAATGAAGGGCAAATCTCCTACAGCAACACAGTACCACATTGAAATTAATACGTGAAATATTTCTGTAACTTTGTACACGGAGAAATTTTTTTCATTATATTTAAATTCAAATAATTAATTGTACGAATATGATATAAAAAGCCAAAGATTCCCAAAATGAAATACAGCATACCAATTAGACTCCGCATAGGCATGCTGCCTCTCGGAGACCAGCAAATTGTAAATTTCATTTTCACTTTGGATTCGCCTCAGTATTTCGACGGTTGGAATACTCTTCTTCGCCGGACCACGGAACAAATTTACAACGTAGGGTCTGGTCAGCCCTGGACGAAACATTTGGTACCGTGGCCAAGATAGCGGACACTTTGTTGGACATCGCCACTCTCGAGGACTAACCGGACAGCTTTGATAAATCGGACTATTCTATTGCCATCGCCTACGGAATGGCTCGTTCATCATTGCCTTCGACGTCATGGCGGTTATTATTCCCCACCCGCAATCCTAGTTTTGTGTGATTCGTATTGGGTTTTTGGCTCACTGGCAATGTGGAAAAACTCGGAGCTCCGTCCTTCTGCTTCGATTCAAACAACAAATACAAAATTCAGCAATCTTACTTAAAATCCTCTGAAAATTCAGGCCTTCGACTGGGCGTAGTCAGGCCAGGATTGTCGCATACGGCACAATCCCCGCAACGAATCTCCCACCGGAAGGAGCAGCATCACGTAGGATTCGCTAGAAACGCTTCCATTCCTTTCCTGTGTCAAATGAAGTTACCAAATCCGCCTGATGTCCCGTTTCCATCGAAAACATCACCGTCATAACAATCAGCAGCAGTGAATTGAACAGTGAACAATAATACCATTAAAAACTATTTCCACCATCGTGATATCATCAGATCCAGATAATATCGCCATTGCTTGACACAATTTCAGGCACGTACAATATTTTTTTGTAGCCGATTATCAAATCATGCAACAATTCAGTATCATCTAAAAAAATCGTAAATTTCCCTGAAACAAATTGTTTTGGTCGCCGGGGTGTTGAGTTTCACTGTTTTCACTTTTTTATTATATTGTATAGTTTGCACTCGTCTCTGTCTGAAGTTTCAAATGAAGGGCAACATCGCGTCACTTTTCAAAGGTCCTAAGTAACAAATGTAAACAAATAGAGTTAAGTGATACAAACTATATTCTATCATTGTATGTGATACAAATTTACTTTCATGTATTTAAGATAACCCTAGTTGAAAAATTGTCCAATGTACAGTTGAAATGATGAGTACATGATTGTTACTTCGGTCATTCGGACTGCCTAACATGATTGGTGCAAATGGACACAAGCACCGTTCATAATTTTTAAATAAATTGTGCATGTCTCAAAACAAAGAAATTGGGAACAACTGTTTATGAGATTGATCAAATATGCTCACAGCCTGCATTGGAAGGCCGAACAACTTTGAATGAAATTGATTTTTTTTTTAGTCGATCTTGTTTTCCGTGCTGAGCACCAATGCTACCGAAGCCAGGAAGGCGCTCCCACACCTGGACCCTACCTATCGACCCATCAACTCATGAACCGGGGACCAACGGCTTTACTTCCCTTCCGTGATCAGAGATGTTATGCCTCAAAACATCCCGGCGGCGCCGACTGGATTGACCCCAGGCCTGCTGGGGTGAGAGGTAATCACGCTTACCACTACACCACCGGCGCCGGTAACATTAAAACAATGCAATGGTTATACAAAAAGTTGATTTAATGACATAAAAGTAAGATTTTCAACATTTTATGGATAGTATTGTCAAAGCCGTGCCTCTTGATATAATGCTTACTACGAATATCAGTGTCGGAAGTGAAATTCAGTGCTAGACCAATATCTTACGTTAATTGACATTGTTGACAGCACGCAGCACTGTGCCCAAGGCGACGCTGTGTACACGGATCTCAAAGCCTCGTTCGATTTGTTGGTTTTGATCTAATTTTCGACTTATTAAGCACAACCCACGCTTTACCTTTCTTTTCTGAAAGGGTTTGAGAAAAAATTGAATGTTTCAATGAAAGATGACTTCAAGCATAATTTGTCAAAAGGACTTAAGTCACATAAATCAACAAATAGATGTTTTGCTTCTAACCGGTTATAAAATACATGCTTTTCCTACGAGTTAGTGAAAAACATGGTTTGAAATTTAAATGAATTATGGAAAATATATTAAATGAACGCTCCTCTTTCATTACTTTTAAAATGGTTTGATAAGTGTCAAAATATGATGATAACACAAAAACTGCAGATAAGCTCATAGTGAAACGTCGTATGTGAAAGAATAAAGCAATCATTTTCAATCAGTAGATGCGTCAAGTTGTTTCTAAATAGGAGATTCAGCTTATGCTTGATATGTTTAAAAAAGCTAAAAAGTTTAAAATAAAATAAATTAAATTAAAATTAAATAAATTAACTAAAATAAATTTAGTTAAAATATTATAAATATTTTTTTAGATGCAGCCAATCAGCTCGATGAGTCACAACAGTTTGCTTCTGAAAGTATTCCCAGTGCAACAAACAGTATCATCAATTCTTTCCGAGCTACCGACGTATCTTCACTGCAAAACGAAAAACGGTGTATCTGATCTGCCGCATGTGAAAACCGATCTGTCAAATCGGTGAATCATGCAGGGTGTATGTAAGAATCAAGATGTGATACCGGCGAATCAATCAAGGTGTATTTGAGTAGCAAGCAAGGAAAAGGTGAATTATTTTGTTTTATAAAAAACTTGTCCATGTGTGCAAAAACTCAACTTTTTAATAAATTCTCTTGAAGGGGCGACCTCGGCGTAGTGGTTAGCATTCATACCTCTCACGCCAAAGTCACGAGTTTAAATCTCACCCCCGGACAAGTCACGAATGACCCAAGAGCGTTAAAGTGAGTATAATTAAAAAAAAATCTCTTAAACGACATCTATTTATCCAAATAATAGCGGAAACAGATAAAAAAAAGACATTAACTTTTAAATAGGATTTAATAATCGCATATGAACATTGCTATCCAATGTTTCTAATTTTCTATCAAATGTTACATACGTCCATTTGAAAAGTTATGATTGTCTTGTAATTTTTTTTACCTTTTCATACGTACCGTTTGATTTGACGAAAAGTCACAACTTATTGAGATATTGTTAAAAATCTA